TTAATTCTACAAATGTGCTGATCAGAAAATTTATCTTCCCAGCTACATGCTTTTTCAAATACGAAAGGCTCTGTTATAATGAAGTGAGGACATAAGTATGACCTTGTACAGTCTTTAGCAAACTGCATATTATGGGTTGGCTCCATTCCTTTGAGAGCTACAGTCTTTATAGTTTTGCATCTGTTAGCCCTCCGGATATGCCTGGCTTTTTTTACAGCAAAGTGGAAACTCAGAATGTTGGTTTCCCTGTTTTGATTTCCCTTAGCCATTTGTTTTATTTTCTAGTGATGAGTAATACTTTTATTTGTGAGTCTGTTCATTTTTTAGGGAGTGTTGGTTTTAGTGTTTTGAGACAGGGTTTCTTTGTGTAGTCCTGGCTGTCCTTGAAATCACTCTGTAGACCAGGCTGGCCTTGAACTTACAGAGATCCACTGACTTAGGCATGCACCACCACTGTCCGAGTGATATTTTCATTAAGACTATCTTTTTTTTCTTTTTTCTTTGTTTAAGATTTTTTTATTATTCTAATTTTAAATATCTTGTTTTACATGCCAATCCCAGTTCCCTCTCCCTCCCCTCTTCCCGCACCCACCTCCCCGCCCCCCAGCCTCCCACCCTGTTGCCAATTCCTTCCAAATAGGGGATATCCTACATAGGGGATATCTAGAGTCTGTCATTTCACTCAGGGTAGGGTCCAGGCACTCCCCCTAAGAGTCAAGGCTGAGAGAGCATCCCTCTTTGTGTTATGGACACACGATGTCTGTTAGTATTCGAGGGATAAACACTGATCCACTGCTCAGGGCTCTATAGGTTACCCAGGCCTCCTCACTGACTCTCACATTCGGGGGTCTGGATCGGTCCCATGCTGGCCTCCCAGCTGTTGGTCTGGGGTCCAAGAGCTCTCCGCTGTTCGGATCAGCTGTCTCTGCTGGTTTTGCCAGCCCATTCTTTGCCAATTTGCTCATCGCTCTTCTCTCTGTCACTGGGTTCCTTGGGTTCAGTTCAGTGATTACTGTGAGTGTTTGCCTCTGCTTTCATCAGTCACAGGATGAAGGCTCCCGGATGGTTATAGACATCAAGTTCATTATCAGGCATGGGCATTCGAGGTGGTCTCTCCACTATTGCTTAGCTTGCCAATTGGTGTCATCCCTTTAGATCACTAGAGGTCACACTGGTGCCTGATCTGTCTTCTAACCTATGACTCCCTCTTCCCCCTATTCTACCCCCCCACTCAACCTTCCTGTTCCCACATGACCTACTCTCTCTTCCTCTTCTCCCCCTCGCTTCTTCCCAGCTCCCACTCCCCCTTACCCCTTGCCGTGTTCCCCATCCATTCAGAGGATCTTGTCTCAATCCTCTTCTCTTGGGTAGCATTCATATCTCTTAGGTTCTTTCCTGTTTCCCAGACTCTGTCAGTGGAAGTGCAGACTGGCACTATCCTGATCCATGTCTAAAATCCATATATGAGTGAGTACATACCATGTTTGTCTTTTTATGACTGGGTTACCTCACTCTGGTTTCTTCCAGTGCTATCCATTTACCTGCAAATTTCAAGATTCCATTGTTTTTTTTTTTTTTCTGCTGAGTAGTACTCCATTGTGTAAATGTACCACATTTTCTCTATCCACTCTTCAGTTGAGGGGCATCTAGGTTGCTTCCAGGTTCTGGCTATTACAAATAATGCTGCTATGAACATAGTGGAGCAGATGCCCTTGTATGAATTTGCCTCTTTTGGATATATGCCTAAGAGTGGAACTCTGGGTCTTGTGGTAGATTGATTCCCATTTTCCTGAGGAATCTCCATACTGATTTCCAAAGTGGCTGTACGAGTTGGCACTCCCACCAGCAGTGGAGGAGTGTTCCCCTCTCTCCACATCCTCTCCAGCATAAACTGTCATTGGTGTTTTTGATTTTAGCCATTCTGACAGGAGTAAGATGGTATCTCAAAGTTGTTTTGATTTGCATTTCCCTGATGGCTAAGGATATTGAGCACTTTCTTAAGTGTCTCTTGGCCATTTTAGCCTCCTCTATTGAGAATTCTCTATTATATAGTTCTGTACGCCACCTTTTAATTGGATCCTTTGGTGTTTTGGAGATGTACTTTTTGAGTTCTTCATAAATTTTGGAGACTAGCCCTCTGTTAGATATGGGGTTAGTGAATATCTTTTCCTATTCTGTGGACTGCCTTTTTGTCTTGTTGACTGTGTCCTTTGCCTTACAGAAGCTTTTTAGTTTCAGGAGGTCCCATTTGTTAATTGTCGATCTCAGTGTCTGTGCCACTGGTGTTATGTTCAGGAAGTGGTCTCCTGTACCAACTCGTTGAAGAGTATCTCCCACTTTATCTTCCAAAAGTTTCAGTGTGGTCGAATTTATGTTGAGATTTTTGATCCATTTGGACTTAAGTTTTGTACAAGGCGATAAACGTGGATCTATCTGCAGTCTTCTGCATACCAGTACCCAGTTATGCCAGCACCATTTGTTGAAGATGCTTTCTTTTTTCCATTGTATAGTTCTAGCTTCTTTGTCAAAAATCAAGTGTTCATAGGTGTGTGGGTTAAAATCAGGGTTTTCAATTCAGTTCCATTGGTCTACCTGCCTATTTTTGTGCCAATACCGTGCTGTTTTCAGGACTATAGCTCTATAATAGAGCTTGAAGTCAGGGATGGTGATGCCTCCTGAAGTTCCTTTATTGTATAGTGTTGTTTTGGCTATCCTGGACCTTTTGTTTTTCCATATAAAGTTGATTATTGTTCTTTCAAGGTCTGCAAAGAAGTGTGCCGGAATTTTGATAGGGATTGCATTGAATCTGTAGACTGCTTTTGGCAAGATTGCCATTTTTATTATGTTGATCCTACCAATCCAAGAGCATGGGAGATCTTTCCATTTTCTGGTATCCTCTTTGATTTCTTTCTTTAAAGACTCAAAGTTCTTGATATACAGGTCTTTCATTTCCTTGGTTAACATTATCCCCAGATGCTGTTTTTGGCTATCGTAAAGGGTGATGTTTCTCTGATTTCTTTCTCAGTCACTTCATCATCTGTATATAATAGGGCCACTGATTTTTTTTGAGTTTACCTTGTATCCTGCCACATTGCTGAAGGTGTTTATCAGCTCTAGGAGTAACCTTGCGGAGTTTTTTTGGGTCACTTATGTAAACTATCATATCATCTGCAAATAGTGAAAGCTTGACTTCTTCTTTTCCTATTTGATCTCCTTTTGTTGTCTTATTGCTGTAGCTAGAACTTCAAGTACAATATTGAAGAGATATGGAGAGAGTGGGCAGCCTTGTCTTGTTCCTGATTTTAGAGGAATTGCATTGAGTTTCTTTCCATTTAGTTTGATGTTAGCTGTTGGTTTACTATATATTGCTTTTATTATATTCAGGTATGTTCCTGTTATCCCTGATCTCTCTAGGACCTTTATCATGAAAGGGTGGTGGATTTTGTCAAAGGCTTTTTCAGCATCTAGTTTCATGATCATGTGGTTTTTCTTACGCAGTTTGTTTATATGGTGGATTACATTGATAGATTTTCTAATGTTGAACCAACCCTGCATTCCTGGGATGAAGCCTACTTGATCATAGTGGATGATTTTTCTGATGTGTTCTTGAATCCGGTTTGTTAGTATTTTATTGAGTATTTTTGCATCAATATTCATGAGGGAAATTGGTCTGTAGTTCTCTTTCTTAGTTGTGTCTTCGTGTGGCTTGGGTATCAAGGTAATTGTAGTCTCGTAAAAAGAGTTTGGCAGTGAGCCTCCTGCTTCTATTGTGTGGAATACTTTGAGGAGTATTGGAATTAGCTCTTCTTTGAATTTCTGGTAGAATTCTGCACTGAAGCCATCTGGGCCTGGGCTTTTTTTGTTTGGGAGACTTTTTTTTTGAGACAGGGTTTCTCTGTGGCTTTGGAGGCTGTCCTGGAACTCACTTTGTAGACCAGGCTGGCCTCGAACTCACAGAGATCCGCCTGCCTCTGCCTCCCGAGTGCTGGGATTAAAGGCGTGCGCCACCAACGCCCGGCCGTTTGGGAGACTTTTGATGACTGCTTCTATTTCATTAGGGGTTAAAGGTCTGTTTAGATCATTTATCTGCTCTTGATTTAGTTTTGGCAAGTGATATCTATCCAGGAAATTGTCCATTTCCTTTAAATTTTCAAATTTTGTGGAGTACAGATTTTCAAAGTATGCCCTGATGATTCTCTGGATTTCCTCATTGTACGTTATGCCCCCTTTTTCATTTCTGGTTTTGTTAATTAGCATGCCCTCTCTCTGTATTTTGGTTAATTTGGACAGAGGTTTGTCTATTTTGTTGATTTTCTCAAAGAACCAACTCTTTGTTTCATTGGTTCTTTTCAATGTTTTACTGGTTTCTACTTGATTGATTTCAGCCCTCAATTTGATTATTTCCTGGTATCTTCTCCTCCTGGGTGAGTTTGCTTCTTTCTCTTCTAGAACATTCAGCTGTGCTATTAATTCTCTAGTATGACTGTTCTCCAGTTTCTTCATGTGGGCACTCAGTGCTATGAACTTTCCTCTCAGCACTGCTTTCAGAGTGTCCAATAAGTTTGGGTATGTTGTGTCTTCATTCTCATTGAATTCCAGGAAGTCTTTGATTTCTTTTTTTTAATTTCTTCCTTTACCCAGGGATGGTGCAATTGTTCATTCTCCGAGTGATATATTCATTAAATCTATCTTATATATAACTAAATATTGAGTATTAACAAAGACCCACTGGCTCTTACTATGGAATCTCCCAGCCTGGTAATGACCAGGGGGAAATGGAGGACAAGGTGAAGCCGAGGTGTTGGTGCCTTCATCTGGTACCTACCTGACAAAGACTAAATTCTGGATCATTCTCAGTATTACACAATGAATTTTATATTTTGCAGTTATATTTAGGCTTCTGAAATTAAATTAAGGTTGATGATTCTCAGTGTTCAGAACTGGCTTAAATGAAAGTTAACTTTTGTCTTCCATACCCTTTCCTACTCTTGTCTTCACAGAAAAAAGGTTGGCCAGACCACAAGCGGGAATGCAAATGTCTTAAAAGCTGCAAGCCCAGATATCCCCCTGACTCTGTGAGACTTCTGGCCAGAGTCATCGTGAAACTCGTGAGTATACAGTTCAAGAGAGAAGACTGGATTTAATTTGATAAAAGCAATTGCTGTTCCTAGTCATATTTAAGGCTGAGGCTGAATTCATGTTAAGGTGTTGGTGGGATATCTCAGGCAGTGTGTTAAGATGAGAAACTCATGTCATTGACTTGAGGACCATGAGGTGTACAGCTCCTGTCTATAGAGATTTGTAATCTCTTTCTAATAGAGTTTTGAGGTAACAGATGTTAGCATTTAATACTTACTATGTTTTTTATGTAACTTTTTTCTGTGAACACACTGCATGCTTTTATTGTCTTTTCAAGTAAGAATATAATTAGATAATAACATATTAAATAGACAAAATCTTATTTCTTTTCTTTTGGACTGCCAGGATTTGTGATTTCTGCAGTTGTTTTCCTTGACATAAAGCAGTCTGAAATCCTGCTCTGCAAACACATCTAGATTGTTCAGATAGCCTGTGACATAAATGTCTCTGATTATTGCAGGTTCTAATTGGGTTCCTTCGTTTTCTTATTTCCCCTTTCTCCACCCTCAACTTTTGTAGAGGCCTTTGAGAATGTGAAAGTGTGGGAACTTCTTGTAAGAGATTTTATTTGGAGATAAAACTGGTTAGGTGAAGTTTAAAGCTGTATTTTAAAGTTGTTACTAAGTAATTCCAAAAAAGGGAAAAAAAGAGCTGAAGAACGAATGGATAAATAAATGTTTTAAATGGTTATAATATAATGTTTTAAAAATTTCATTGAATCTGGGTATGGTGGTGTACGCCTTTAATTTCAGCACTCAGGAGGTAGAGGTAGGTGGATTGCTCTGTGTTCTAGGCCAGCTTGTTTTACTGACTAACTTCCAGGATAGCCAGAGGTTCTTAGTAATATAGTGGTACATCATGTCTCAAAACAAGCAAACAAACAATTTCATCAAATTATCCAAGTGTGGTCAAATATACTTATTTATATACTGGAGCGCTAACCTTGTGTCTTCTCCTTTTCCTTCCCAGATGGATGAAAAACCCTCAGAGTCGGAGAAACTTTACACGTTTTATGATCTGGAGTCCAGTAAGTGATTATTCATTTGTATCTTAAAACTAAATCTGTCACTTGTCAGCTGAACTTCACTCTCTCACTCTCCCTGCCCATCTGCCCCCTTTCTCTGTTCTCCTCAGAGGTTCAGGCTTTAGCTTCTAAGGTCTCCAGTTATGCACCGCTAGTTTTAAGAATTGAAGCTGTGATCTTTTGAGTCTGTTAATCCAACCCATGACCCTTTGCCATACAAGGGAGAACTCACGATTTCCTTGTGAGCAGAATTGAAGGCTCTCACTCAGTTGTTAGTAACATAGCTATTAGTCTAAGTGACATCATTTGTCCTCTGTGTCCCCCCCCCCTCTATCCCCTTCTCTCCCCCTGGCTTCCTCTCCATGTTAGCGAAGAGTGCTGCAGTAAAGAGTGTCGTCCTAGGGAATCCCTTTGTGTCATCCTTCTGCTAGATGCTAAGAAAAGCTGCAGGTACAGACGACGACTTAGGCTCTGTGACGTTGTTGAACATTCTTTTCCTGAACTACCATGGTGGATGCCGTAGGGCTTCCCAGGTGTAGGTGTCGTGTACAGTCAGGTTTATTTTGCTTTGTACAGTCACAGGTCCTCTTCACCGAGAATGTAAGTGGTTCCAGTCTCAAACTAGCTGGAACTCACAGACTGCGCTTGTTACACAGTTTGCCACTTCTGGTTAGAGATGAATGAGAAGGTGGTCTCTAGATTTACAGTTCTAGCAGCTTAAGTGCCAGGGGTAATAAGTTATTATTTAAGAAATCATGGGTTAATTATTCTGTTGGACAAATAATTTGACGAAAATATGTAAACCTGATATGAGGAAGAGTGCTAGTTCAGTGTGATGTGTCTTTTCAAGTTTTAATAGAGAACTAATTAGTCATTTTCCTTTGTAGTACTGCTGGATAATTAACACCATTCACAGTGATTTTGACTATTAACATTAGCCCTGTTTAGTAGCAAACCATTGCATTGCCTTTGGTGAGATGCTCAGATGTTATTACTGTGGTGGTGTACTCTTAGCCTCAATATGCCATTCATAATGACATATTATTTAAATATGGTATTATAATTTAAACTAATGTTCAAGGAGGTCATACTGGCTTTAGAAAAATCTCACTTTATGTGCTTTTTTTTAGAAAAATGTAATTGACACATAAAATCTCTAAACAAACTTATGGGGTCCAGTATATGCATATAATATATAACAATAAAATCAGGTAGTTAGCACTAACATTTCAAAAAATATATCCTTTTTAATGTATTTGGAACCTTTCAAAAGTTGAAACATTTTTGTAGAGTAATTCAGCATAAATATACAATAAATAATGATCATATCAGAACCATGGGTGTTTTCTGTCAGAAGTGTGTCATGTTTTTGTGTTGGGGACCCACTGATTATTTTTGTCTGACAAGGACTTAAGCCTGCATGCTACAGAATAGCAGCATCAACTCCCCCTAGCTAGCTGCATTTTGGTACCCAGTGTCCAACCTCTCTTCACTCCATTCCCCCCTGTCCTGTCTCACATCCAGTGACCACTGTTTTGTTTGATCCACTCTGTCCTGGCTAGCTTAATTGTCACCTTGAAACAGCCTGGAGTCACCTGAGAGGAGAAGCCGCAGATGAGAATTGCTTAGATCTGGTTGGTGTGATGTCTGTGAGGGATCGTTTCGATTAGTAGTGCATGTAGCAGAGCCCTACCTATTCCTTGAGCAAGTGGCCCTGACTGTATGAAACAACTAGGGAAGCGGGAGCCTGTGCGTGAGCCAGAGAGCGGCAGCAAGCCCCGTGCGTCTGTGGCCTTTGCTTCGAGTTTGGGCCCTGAGTTTCTGCCCGGACATCCCTCAGTGACTGACCTGGAGCTGTAAACCAGATAAAGTGTTTCTTCTCCCAGGTTGCTTCTTGTCAGTATTTTATCAGAGCAACAGAATGGAAGCCAGACATTTGTCTTCCCATGCCTGGCTGATTTCACTTAACACTGTGTTCTCCAGTTTTGTTCCAGGCTTTCACTATTTTTTAAAAAAATGTCTGAGTAGTATTTTGCTGTATTTTCTTCATCCATTCATCCTGATTCCTTGTTTTGAGCTCTGTACCTAGTGTTGCAGTAAATTCGGATGGCAGACATCTTGTTGGCACAATACTGTTTTGCACAATGACTACGTGCCATTGTGTAGGAGTGCCTGTGTTTCTGCATCTGTGCTAAGATTTATTGCTTTATGCTTTTGGATAATAATCATTCTAGCTGGAGCGAGATGATGTCTCATCGTTTTAGCTCACATTTTCTGTGGAGTATTTTGTCATGCACCTGGTCACCATTTGTTATCTTCTTTTGAGGAATATCTGTCCAGAGCATGTATTTCCCTTTAAATGGGATCTTCATCATCATTTCAAATGGCTATTGAGTTATATTTGTCACCGCTGTTGTTTGTTTACTTATTTATTTTTTGTTTTTTACTTCCCCATCAAAGTTTCTCCTCCCTATCCTCTTCCCAGCTCCTCCCCCACCCTCTCTCCTCTCCCCACTATTGAGTTATTTTGACTTCCTTATATAGTCTAGACATTGTGAATCACTTGCAGGTTTTTTGTCTGTTATGTTGGCTGTCTCTTTGTTGTACAATCATGATTGTATTCTTTGTACAGGTATTTTCATTGTTGCTGATTGGATCTTATTTTCTAATTTTTGTTTATTTTGTAGTTATGTCCAAAAACTTTGTGCTTAGTCAGTACACTTTCCTTTGTGTTTTTTCTTTAATAGTTTTATGATTTGGGATCATATATTTATGTTTTTGATACATTTAATATTGCTTTTGTGTATGAAGAGAGATAGGGTCCTAGTTTTGTTCTTCTATACATGAATACCTACTTTCCTGGCACAATTTATTGAAGCCACTGTCTTTACCTTTAATGTGCATTTGCAGCAACTTTGTTGTGTGAGCATATATCAATTTCTGGCCTCTCTGCTCTGGCTCAGTGTTGGGTATGTGTGTTATTATGTCCATGGCATACTCGTTGGTGATAACAGACTTGTAGAATGTTTTTTCAGATGAGATATTGTCACATCTCTAGCTTTTTCATTCAGGGTTGCTTTGGCTTTCTGATTATTGCCCTTGTTCCTGTGAAAGATGCCATTGTTATTCTCTAGGAATTGCATTGGGTCTGTACATCACTTGAGGGAGTATGGGCATTGTAACAATTTAATTGTTCTAAGTCATTAAAAGGGGTTGTCTTCTCTAATGTTTAATGTCTGCCTGCCCTCCTTCCCTATGTCCCTCCCTCCCTCCCTATGTTCCTCCTTCCCTATGTCCCTCGCTCCCTCCCTCCCTCCCTCCCTCCCTCCTTCCGTCCTTACAATAACTATCTTCTTCAATGTCTTTAACCAGAGTTTTATAATTGTAGAGGGCTTTCACTTCTTTGGTTAAATTTCTCCCTGTATGTTTCATTTTGGGGTCACAGGTGTGATCCACATTGCTTTGTTTCTTTTGTCATCAAGTTTGCTATTAATGTATAAAACAAAATCTTAGTAATTTTTATGCCAGTTTTATGCCCTGAAACATTATAGAATTAGTACCAGTTTTAGCTCTTTCCTTACGTCTGGAATCTTTCTCTTTGACCCAAACATAAGGAGAAGAAGCACAGCCTCCAGGCCTGTCTGTCTCTGTTTGTCCAACCTGGAAATAACTCAAGGTTGAGATTCCTTCAGGCCATCCAAGTTCTTGTTAGGATACTCATTTTGTCTGACAAATTTAAGTTGTTTAAACTTCATATGAACTTTAAATATCTAATTTTCTGCCTTTTGAACCTTTCAGATAATACTGTTTATGAGCCAGTGGTGACCTACTTGTGAATTATTATGGGGAAAAGTCAGTTTAAATTCACTGGCTTAATCAGGATTTATGTTGGTACATGTGTTCACCATGATGTAAGAGATCTAGTAGTGTGCAGCTGATTTGGGCTTAGTGTACTTTCAAAACCTGTGTGTACATCTTATTTATTTGTCTGTCCATTTACGTTATTACTCATCTACTCACTCATTTATTTATTTAATTGGTAGCTCCATGATCTAGTTTGTGGATACAGTTGGACAGCATTTAATGAACATAATATGTACCATGATTTACAGTTGTCAGGATAGATTGCATGTCAGGAAATATTTAATAGCCAGCCTTAAACATCTGAAACTTATCCATGAAGTTCACTTGGTGATTATAGTATTTATTTTCTTTACGAAAAAGATATTAACAAACTCACGGAAGATAAGAAAGAGGGCCTGAGGCAGCTTGCCCTGACATTTCAGCATTTCACGAGAGAAGAGATACAGGATGCTTCCCAACTGCCGCCGTCTTTTGATCTTCTTGAAGCCTTTGCAAAAGTAAGTTTGAAGGTTCATCTCTGCAGGTGCTGTAAGTCAGTCATTTACCCTTCACTCTCTTGTCATTTGTAAGCATGTCTAGAACCTTAGTGGGACACTGGTGACTGTTAATGCCTTGTATCACTCCCCATCTAAATGAGCACGGAATGAAAGAATTCATTCAGTATTGCCTGGACCAAAAGGGGTGTTACTTTTCTGTTTTACTAGTAATTTTGCTTGGAGGTTATTCGTTGCTAATACTGTCAACATCCTCTCTAGAGAGTCCGCTCTGTTTTCTCAAAAGAACACAGCAAATCTACCCCATGACTGTCTACTGAAGGATTTCGTTTTAGTGTTGGGCTTACTTTTAATGTTGGTTGCTTTAGCCAAGTTGGAAAAAAAAAACTGTTGGAATCTATTCTGATTAACTGACTTTTAAATAATATGAAAGCATATCGGTTTCTGACTTAAAATAATTTAAAGATCAGATTAGTGAAATCTGAGGTTAGAGATAGAAAACAGATTTACTTAGCGTTTCTTCTGCTCTCTGTGAGTAGGAGTTACATGAAGTGTTCTGTTTGAAAATGAGTCTGCAAGTTTGCTTTGGCCCAGGCAGCAAGGATGCAGCGGTGGGTGGGGGATGGCGCATGCCCAACACTCCCCACACTGCTCTGGGTCTGCTGTCTTTGCCCATTCGTTTTTAATGTTTGTCACGTTTTACATGGGAAGATGACTTCGACACTTACCTTTAAATTTGTAAAACACACATTTCATAACAGCCCCCGGTTATTTTAAAGAATGCTTTCAAAATTACCTACTTGGCAAGAATTTAAATGTGATTATTTTGATTGCTAGAGATTTATTCTAGTTTTTCCCCTCAAAATTATTTTTATTTTATTCTTTAAAGTATGTCCCCTGGTTTTTTGATAATGCAATCTTAGCATTATATTCTGGTTTACCTATACTTTAAAGTTGATTTGAAATATAGTGGTTACTCCATGCTTGTTTATTTCATATGTTCTTGGAAAATTACAGCCTCTGCTAGTTCCGTAGGTGTCGTGGACACAGCTTCTTTGTCTTAAACACTGAAAATGTAGCCTATGTCTGACGGTGGCCGGTGCTTTGTCTCTCACACTGACAGTGTGACTGCTCTGTGCTGTCATTTCTGCTGTTGAAAAATCTTCCATAACAAGCATAATTATGATTAATATTCATGTCAGATGTCTTCAAAATATTGCTAAATCTAAAACATGAGTTGATGCCTTGTTCCTGTTGTTTATAGTTAAACTTTTTTTTTTTTTTTTTTTTTTTTTGCTTTTCGGGGCAGGGTTTCTCTATAGCTTTGGATCCTGTCCTGGAACTTACTCTGTAGACCAGGCTGGCCTCAAACGCCACCACCGCATGTCTAGTTAAGCATTTTTAATGATGTTTATCTTTGGAACTCTTGCCATGTTATGTATGAGTAATGTTCTGGAATTGTAATGAAAGTGGGTAAATTTTTTGGACAAAATTTCAATAATAAGCCATATCCTTGTAGTTGTGCTTGCTGTAAAAGTGGAACATTTGGACTGGGGAGAGGGCTCAGGTGGAAGAGTGCTGACCACACAAGCTGTTGACTTCCAACCACAGCACCCATGTGAAGGCTGTGGGGGTGCACACTTGCAATCCTAGTGCACAAGGAATGATGACAAGTGGGTCCGTGGGACTCCCTGGCCCGCAGTGTTGTCCTGGTAGCAAGTCCCAGGTCTCAGTGAAAGAGTCAAAAAACCAAGGTGAGTGGTTCCCAAGGAGCCGCAGAAGAATACACACCACACAATGAACACAATGAAAAACATGTATGTCATTGAGATTTTGGAGACCAATTGGGCTCAGATATGTAACTTGGCTTGCAATGTACTTTAGTGAAAGTCAGAGGAAAGCAGCTAATTCACTCGTGGTTCCTGGACATCTTTGCCAAAGTGTTGTCAGTTAATATCTTGTTACTTGTGGTTTTGTTTCTGCTCATAAATTCATCTGTAGGAGAGATCGCTGTCTTGCTTTCCTTTCTCAGGAAAATGATCTTAATCAAGCTAATTAGTGCCCTGTAAGACACAGAGAGGTGCTGCTGATAGGAGCCTGATAGGAGTGCACGTGTCTCCTGCAGCACACTGGAAGTGGGTGGAAGGCATTGGGCAGAGAACCTTTTCCACTCTTCCACCCCATACCCATTTCATTATCGTTTTACAGTTTAGCAGAGGGAGCAAGTGGGTGGCACTACAGTTTACGCCCTGTAGTAGTCTGCTTCTGCATGCCACGTGCAATCAGTCAATCCACGGAACTTCTATGTGCATTTATCCTCCTTGGTCTTTGAAATGGGGTTTTACCTGGTCTCAATAAAAACATCATGTGTTCTGGGTTGTGTTTGGTCTCTTTGTTTTATATTCATTTATGTTATATGTCTGCATTAGACTCCATACACTTTTGTCTCATCCTTGGTCTTTGTTACCAAGTGTCCACAGTATATTTCGGCAGGAGGGAATCCTGCTTATTTATGCTGGCCCGGTTGGAGGACACAGTGACATTGTGGCTAATCCCTCAAAGCTTTCTCCTCTGGTGGATTTAGATGTTGAACCCACTGGTGGATGGTGGAACCCTCTGGAGTTTCTGGTGGAAGAATAACTTCCTCTCTATTAGACCAGGTTCTTAGAATGCTTCTAAAACTGTAGTTTTTTGCTTGACACAGTTTCCCCCTACATGCTAGAGACCTTGCTGCATAGGTATTTTGTGGGTCACAGTCACAAGGGCTTCTTAGCACCTGCACTGGTTTTGCTCTTTTTAACCCCACATAAGTGCACACATGGACAGCAACTGGCATGTGACTCCCATGTGCTTTATCCTGATGAACTTGTTGCTGGGTTGTAAAGTTGAGCACCACGAGATTATATGGGAATGAATCCCCCTCCGCTCACACCAAGTGCAGATGTCAAGGAGGCCTTTCACTGAGGATTAGAAATTGACCTGAGTTTGAGAAGATGTGCTGGCAGATTGTACTCGGTGGTCTTGAAAGGCTGGTGGGGAGTGTAGTGCTCTGATTGGCTACCCACTGGGACATTCACAGGAGAAGGCTGAGAAGGGCAGTGTGTGGAGGATAGGCTCAGTTGTGTGGTTCTTCCTGTCAGAGTTTGAACAACATCACCGGCCTCCAGAATTCCCACAGAAGAGCTGATGCTATGAGATCTGGTGGGTTAAAGGAAGATGCAGGAGCCATTCATGAATGCTTTGATTGTGTAGTAGTTGTATCTTCTTAAACTTAATGTATATATTCTTTGGGCCATAAAACTATGAAATCCTAGGAAGGGAGGCAGGTGGTAACTGCCTCTGACAATAACAGAGGTAGCTGAGGGGCAGGGGGTAGCTAGAGAGGTCAGTGAGAGCCTAGAGGGGGCCATTATTCATGTACTCATTAAAGATAAGGGTCTAGCTCTCCCTTTGCTTCCTCCCTACACTCTTCCCCCACAAACCACGACACGTTTAGTTAGGTTTTGAGATGGATTCATCTAGGAAGGATTAATAAAGACTGCTCTAATAAAGTCTTCAGGTTGAGTCCTAAACATTTGCTACAAATGCAGAAAAAAGTATATACTAATTATAGTTATTAACTTACAAGGTCAGAAAAGTACAGCTAGTGAGATCACCGATTTATTTACTTATTTAAAAATGCATTTTATTATTTTATGTGTTTGAGTCTTGTTTTCACATAGTTAAATGCAGCATGTGTGCTGTGTCCACACAGGCCAAAGAGAGTGTTGGATCCCTTGGAACTGAAGTCACAGACTGTTGTGAACTACCTTTACGTGCTGAGACTCAAACCTGGGTCCTCTGGAAGAGCAGACAGTGCTCTTAACCACTGAGATATCTCTGCAACCCTGAGAGGACAGATTTAAATGGATGCTGTGTGGTATGACAGTTAAGTTGTTTTCTCAAAGCAAGAAGTAAAATTCTCTTGATCTGTATTTGTTTTTCTGTGCACACAGATAAAGAATCACAGATAGGAGAATTTCACTTTCTTGCTTTAAGAAAATGTGTGTGTGTGTGTGTGTGTGTGTGTGTGTGTGTGTTCATGTGTGCATAGGAATAATAGTGTCATCTCCTTGTGGATAAAATGAGGACTAACTGTAAGTTGCTTGGCAGAGTATCTGGCACATACTATGAATGTCTACTACTGTTGCTCTGTCCCTGTATTATTGGTATTTGAGTATAAAATGTCAGCGTTTTATGTCTCCCAGTGCTGTCATCCAGCCTTGAGCACAGGCCGAGACTGGTTGTAAACCAGTTTCAGACAGTTGCTCACTGTTGTGTTCAGTGCTGGTGTCTCTTGAGATTCCATGAATTACCTGTCTTGATGAGAAGTAGTTTTGCAGACAGAAAATAGTATCTCTGCCCTTGTAAGCTATTTTTATTTCAGCCCACAGCTATTGTGGTAAAAATTCACTTCCGTCTCTATCGTAACAGCTCACTTGACTCCTGAGTGTTTTCTGTAGGTCATGTAAAACGTAGGTGATGAATGAGTTCTGTCTCATAGTTGTACTTGAAGAGGAAAAAGCCAAATTACAAGTGTTTCATTATCATAGTTTTCTGAAATGGACTGCAACATTCAATATTTCCATTCATCATAATTATTAGATATATTTATGAATAGGCTCGACACAGTTTTAGCAAACAGCTTTGAGGTTTGTGTAATAAATGTATAGAAGATATTTGTTTAGGGGTTATTATGGGGTTCCGTACTTTTCTAAATATGAATTCTGACTGATTAGAAACACAATAAGATCAGAGCAATAAAGTAGAAACTGAACAAGTTTCAGAGAATATCTTAGAAATGGACATTTAATTGGAAGCAGCAGAATAATAATGACCTTCCTGACATTATTTGTCTTTGTTAGTGTTCCCAGAGTTCTGCAGCACAGTTTAATTTCACAGTGTTGTACTGTTGGCATAGTGTTTTTGATTAGAAATTCCACATCTATTTGAGAATGTTCCAT